CACAAATCCTGACTAGATTGGAGTATCGGAGTACTGGTAAACAGATGAACAGATTTTGTTTACTCGATTACTTGAATATGAATACATGAATCTATTAGTAAAGAACTTCTAATGCTGAATTACAAGATAAGGAGAAGTCCTAACTCCACTTATTACCTTCACTAAGGATCAGAGAAAGTCGAGCCTGAAATGACAGCTTCACTACCTCATTACATTTTTTATTAGACTCAAAATTTAAACGAGCCTTTTCAGTTCTTATACAGCTGCTGGTAATAACTCAAACTTGTTCCTAGTGGGTGTTGGACTCTGCCAGGGTTGCAGTTCGTCGCCAGTTCTGTTTATAATTTTTACAGGCAGAATTTCCAGGCATAGCCACGTGATGGAAGTAACGAGACTCAGCAGAGACGAGACTCAGAGTCTCGTCTCTGCTTTTTGCAGATGATGTGGTTCTGTTGGCTTCATCAGGTGCTTCCCTCCAGTTTACACTGGAGTGGCTCGCAGCAGAGTGTCACTACCTCCAAGTCTGAGGCCATGGATTGGATAAGAGTGGAGTGCCCACTTTGGGTCAGTGACGAGTTGCTGCCCAAGTGAAGGAGGTTAAGTATCTCGGGGTCTTGTTCACGAGTGAGGGGAGCAGGAGATTGCCAGGGGGGCATCTATGGGAGTAGAGCTGCTACTTTTCCACACTGAAAGGAGGCAGTGGAGGTGGTTCAGTCTTCTGGCAAGGATACCTGCTGGGCGCCTCCTGGGTACAGTGGTCCGGCATGTCCCACTGGGAGGAGGCCCAGGGGCAGACCCATGAGATTACATGTTTTGGCTGGCCTGGGAATGATTTGGTGTTCCCCTGGACAAGCTAGAGGAGGTGGCTAGCTAGAGGGGGGTCTGGGTTTCTCTGCTTAGGCTGCTGCCCTTGCGATCCAGGCCCAGATAGACGGAAGAAAATGGATGGATGGTATGGCTCATTATCACCAACAGATGTGACGGATATATCTGTTGGTGAAGCCAACTGAATACGTCACAGAATATCAGCTGAGCAATCAGTCGATGTGGGCTTGCAATTCGATGACTGTCAACCACTGTTTCATTTTTTCTTTTAAACATTATTTTCAGTGGATATTCACAGGGTTCGATTGCTCATTATTTGTGCTGCATTTTAAACTAATGCCAACTTTTCAGTGAATACAGTTGCAATGGTTTTTATTTCACATTAGACAGAAAAACACTTTGTAAAAAATAGATTACAATTCAGTAATAGAAATGTGTAGTGTGTATCTTACAGTAACAGCTTTGTTCTCCAGGTCAGACCCTCCAGCAATGGTAAAGCCAAGCCCAGCTCCCTCGTCTTTATGAAGAACCACTACATGGATGTCCACGAGTTGCTGTGGAAAGATGTAGGTTTACTTGAGCGGACATTTTTAAGGCATTTTTTCAAACACATTTTTCTATTTTCTGGACCATGTTTTTCAAATGTAATATTTTTACATGTAATAATAATAATAATGATAATAATAATAATAATGTATACTTTATTGATCCCCGTGGGGAAATTCCTCTCTGCATTTAACCCATTCACTCAGTGAAGCGATGGGCAGGCATTGGGCACCCAGGGAGCAGTGTGTAGGGACGTGTATATGTAATATTTATTTAATATTTATTACATAAATATTTATGTAATATTTATGTAATATTTATGCATATAAAATGTTGCACTTGCTTATTTAAATTTTGAGTTGTTTTTTTTTTTTAATATTTAGTTTCAGGAAAGTTGTTAGATTCACAGTAGGGTATAATTTAATATTAAAATATGTATAATATAATACATTGTCAGAGGCCAATTTAAAACAGGTTTGAAATACAACCATCCTTGTCATTTTGTTCCAAACACCAACTACAATATCCTACACAATATAGCAGAATCCAGTAAACTATGACACTGCAAATATATTTAGAGCATGTATGATACTGTGTGGTAAAGAAAATCTAGCAGCATTTTATTATATAGGAAAATTCATCTCCAGAAGACAAACTGCACAGCGTGCTTCAAC